GTAAGGACTTCTCTGTTGACATCCACCCCTTGGCCCTCATATGACATTATGCAGTTGCGAGTGCCGTAAAACCTCTACTAAATAAAACTAAAACTAAACCCCTTCACTACCAGGCATTTGTGCAATCCTACAAAACTGCTCAAGCGAGCCTCGGGCCAAGCAGAGTGTTGGAGTTAACAGTTACAAAGTGTTGCTGTTTTGTTTTGCATTTTGTAATGATCATTATTATCTCTTCAGGTCGTCGTTTGAGTCTGTTGTTGTCTATGAGTGGCATGGTGCCAGTTTGCACCAATTCAGACCTTTCTTTTAGCTCACAGAGGTCATACCGAAACCAAGTACAATCGAACCTGTCTCAGACAACCATTCAATGACGAGGAAAAAAGTGGTCGTCTTAGACAGGATGTCCTCCTGGACATTGTCTTTATAATGTTTTAAAACGCTACGGGTTGAAGTAGTGGGAAGTGGCCGTTTGTACAGGTGACTGTCCAGGACAGGTGGTCGTTGGAGCAGGTTAACGACTATATTTCAAAAATCTAAATTGTTAAAACCGCACCAATTCTATTTAAACGTGCTATTTACCTGATTTCTTCGACACTGCAAGATCGTCAGGATTCCCGTTCTGATTCTGCTGCAGGAATTTTTCCTGGGTGATGCACTGGTGTCCCTGGACGAAGCCTTCTAGAGTGACCGGTGCGCAGACTAGGCCATCGTCACAGCGGTCTGTGTTTGGGACTCCGAGTAAGAAGTTAGCTTGGCAAGGCTCGTTCTCCACCTGGCCAACAAGTAAAAGTTCAGTGTTCATCTGGATTTTATAGATTGTAATAATATTACAGGTTGTAAAAAGCATAGAGCTTGCTGTTGAGCGAGGATCTGCGCTGTACAAATGCTGTCTATTATTATTATTATTATTATTATTATTATTATTATTATTATTATGTTAAAACGGAGTGTTCATTAGTCATTTCACCGGCGTATGTGGTGTAGCGGTAAGGAGTTTCGCTATTGCACTCAGGAGACCCGAGCTCGATTTCCCAGTAGGAAGAAATTGTATCGAGTATCTCGGTCTTTTTGCTGTGACGTGGTATATTTTATTATATTAGCTCGGATTGGCCCTGGTAGGCAGCGTGGAAAGCCCGCCATCTAAATGACTTAAATCATGTCGATGGCGGCGTTGAAACATGTTAAGAAAAATAAATCGTAATCACTTGCAAATACGGTTCTTTTTCGATCTGGCTATCAATCAAAAGCCTAATGTTTGTCTTAAGTGTGTTTTTAGGTGTGTGTTTTTTTTACTCGAAGTACTCTTTTGCCATTATTTGCGAATAAGCATTTGAGTGAGACTTTGTTTTCTCAATAAAATATTAGCGAAATGAAACGCTGATAGCTGCAATGAAAAATGTGAGCAAATCTCATTACATGAAGGGACGCTTTCAGATCTTTCATACTTTCGCTTTATGGGGGGCTTGAGAAAGAGAATGTTACAACGTGTTGTTATAGAACAGGGTGGTCTCCTATAAACATTCATCTATCATCGAAATAATATATTATGTAACGGGGGTATTGATTTATTGATTTATTTATTTTATTTATTTGTTTGTTTGTTTGTTTATTTGTTTATTCATTCCTTGGAGATGGGCAATAGTTGTTCTTTGTTTTGTTTGGTTTATGATTGTTGTTGGAATTAGTTTATTCTTTGTTTCTTGTATTTGTTCTTTTTTATAAAATTTTTTCAAGGGGGGTGGGGCTTATTTTTAGCAGGATAATTGGCTAGTGACCTTTCAAAGACTTTACAGAGTCTCCGCTGTAGCTTTAATAGTTTATCAGCTTTATTATATTTCTATTTATACAGTGAATATAAATAGTAACCAGTTACTGTGAGTTGATGTGGTGACCGAAATATTGAAAGCTACACTAGGTGGTTTTGCTAATGTAGCACCAATATCCTCCTCTTTGGCTTCAGCAAAAGACGAACAAGCACTCACCTTAGCACAGATGTCAGTGCATCCGCAAAATCCACCGTTTTTGATGACGCCACCCTTACAGTCAAGCACCTGTTGCTTGACACCCTGGCAGAAGTCTGGAGTGCAGACGATAGCAGACGCTACCGCCACAGTCAGAGAGGCCAAGATAAACCGGAACATGTTGATTCTGCGATTTTGAGGGGGGGGGGGGACAAAAAAGAGGAGGGGTGGTAGAAGGGTTACACGATGAACGGATCAACAGGAAAAAAACCCAGATCATTTCATATGAAGGCTTGGTTTGATGCTTTAAAAAAAGGGGGGTGGGGTAGAAGGGAATGGCCCTTCACTCGAATTTTCCTCACTTCACCCTGGATGGGAATGGGTGCTTTGTCATAGACAGCAAAAGTTTTTTTCGGTATGTGAGTGTTTTAGCACCTCTAAATGGCAGCATGCACCGTAAGCCTTCCAGGAAGTTGAAATTGTTTCTGAATACTATCAGGTCTGCTGGGGTAATGATATAAATATAATAGATGGTAAATCACGAGCTTGTTGTTAAGCGGGGATTTGCGCTAGTGAAATGCTATTTTTTAGTAGTAGTACATTATAATATATAACATAATATACACCACCAACGAATGAGCTGCGTCTATCGCGTGGGGGGACCATCGGTCTATTTGTATCCTTTCGCACTCTTAGTCTACGCCTGATGGGCACTGGGAATATGATTGTACTGTACTCTGAAATAGAACTATGAGTAAAAGTCAAAAAGACAATGAGCTTTTGTTAACTAACGGATATAATGTATTATCATTATGGCCAAAAGCAGCCCATTCGTGGAATTTGAGACAGAATGGTTCTTTACATGATGGTTATTGTAACAGACTCAGGTAGCTTTGGGTTTGATTTTCTCTTTTCTTTGTTTGTATGTTTTGTTATTTGTATTTTAGTTTTTTTCCCCTTTGTATATTGCTTTTGTTGTTGTTATTTTTCTTGTTGTTCTTGTTGTTGTTGTTGTTGTTGTTTGCTTAGGTGCTTTTCGGGGAGAGTCGTTGTTGGTTGTTGTTTTTGTTTTTGTTCTTTTTTTATTGGTTGTTGTTGTTTTTGTAGTTTTTTAGGGGGGGGGGGAGGTGGCTGCCAGTTAGG